ACACACCAACTCCATGGTATCTAACAACCCAACAGGATCCTCACACACCAACTCCATGGTATCTAACAACCCAACAAGACCCTCACATACCAACTCCAGGTTATCTAACAACCACAACATGATCCTCACATACCAACTCCTCGGTATCCGACAACCCAACAGGATCCTCACATACCAACTCCTCGGTATCCGACAACCCAACAGGATCCTCACATACCAACTCCAGGAGATCTAACAACCACAACAGGGTCTTTACAGAGGCAGATCGCCAGGTCTTTTCTCCTTTGGAGGGATGAATGGGCTCCATCCGCTGACGCTTCGGCTAGCAGTGGGGAGCTGAAGCACTGTGCCGCCAGGGCTGTCCTGAAACAACTTCAGATAGGCTTTTCTCTTCCTTCTCCTGTCTCCAACCTCCAACCACCACCGCTGTCAACTCAAGCAACCCTAGACCAAGTCTAACCCTTATTTCCCTTTCCCTACCCTGGCACACTAGCTTTGCTGATAAAGGTAGATCTTTATTCACTTCTTTGGCAGCCCATCCCACTGGGAACATACACTGCACTGAAATCACCTAAAATCCGTACGCCTTTTTTCACAAATCTCTTTTCACCTGGTGTTTGTGGCATTAGATTTGGGGGCCTAAATTAAGAATTTGACGTTTGTTCCTCTTGGGGTCCCTCTTGTTAAGATTGAAACTTCTGATTCCTGATCCTCCTTTTCAAATTTTTAGCTGTCCTCCCACTTGAAGTCATTCAAAACCCATTAAGCATGCCTTTGAAGGTGTCTACAGGTCCCTGAGAAAAGCACCCAATGGGCAAAGTCAAAAATAGAGTCCCCAGGGGCTCAAGTGGAAAGTGGGTGTCGTAAGAATGATGAAGTCAACATATGTACTGAAGTGCTGGACACAGATGACATATGTACAGATTGTGATGAGTTGTATGAGCCCCTAATAAAATGATTATTTTTTTAAAAAAGAAGCAAAATATAAATTTGGTGAATGATTTAAAAAAAAATAGAGTCCCTATAAGCCCCTCTTGTGTTTGCTATCAATCCACTGAACCAGTAACCGACACTGTGAGGGAGCCGTTACTCGAGCAGCCACAGATCCACCACAACCTAATCCCGGGATTTCCGACTGTTTTTCTCTAAGAAGGGAAATCATCTGTCAAACAGGACCCAACTGCATCCCAACATAGGAACCGATTTTAAAACAGGAAGCACCTCTAGGTGAAGCCAAAGGAGGAAAAGGCTCCTCCTCCTTCCTCCCTACCCTGCACTCAAAGGACCTTGGAGTAACCTCGGGGACCCTCTGAAAATCGGACATGGTGACCCCGCTATATGAATGGGATCCTAGGGCTTCATGGAACCAAGAGATGATTTGTTCAACTAGCAAGTCCAGCAAGTCCAAAGATACAGTAGTTCCTTCTGGTAGGATTTTTGCACCACTGATAACCCTTCAATGAAGTCCAAGTACATATTCAATCATTCATTCTGATATTTTATTTCCCTATTTGAATCTACTACTGCTATCTCTTTTGAAATAGGAACAATTTACTATTTCCAACATCCACCATGTTTCCTATTCTCTCCACTTCCGAATGATTTACAAAAGGAGTCCCAAGATCACCAGGTTAATGTTCTACATCCTGTGATATCATTTGCTTGGACCTAGAAACTTAAGCAATACTAGACTATATACATCTCAAGAGTAGGGACCATTCCTGTTCATTTTGTTTCCCAAGAACCTGGAATAGCACCTGGGGCAGACATGAAAATCAAGCTCACTGCCATGAAGTCAGTGCTGACTCCCAGTGATACTATAGGACAGGGTAGAGCTGCCCCTGTGAGCTTCCGAGACGGTAACTCTTCAGGGGTGTAGCAAGCCTCGTCTTTCTCCCTCAGCACCGGCTGGTGATTTTGAACTAAAGTTGCAGTTAGCAGCTCAATGTGTAAAGACACAAAATTAAGGTCCAAATAGTTTGCTAATTAGACTAGTATTTGTGTTAAAAATATATATATATTCTCTTGTTATCTTCTCACCTGGCTTGGATTTCAATTCAATTTACCTATACGGAGGTAAATTATGTGTTTCAACTTTCTCCCTGTTCTTATTTAATTATGCACCATTAAAAAAAAAACGGAATAAAAGCCTTTAACTCTTCCAAGTGGCCTAACACAGTGGAGTTTGCCAGGCTCAACCTCCCGACACCTCACTGCTCAGAGGATCTTTGCTGTAATGATAATGTCTTTAGTTGTGTCTGGAGCCAAAGAAAACCAACCCAACTCACTGATGTCAATTCCAATTCATAGCGACCCTACATGGTTGCCGAGGCTGTAAATCTTTATGGAAGCAGAAAGCCTCATCTTTCTCTCATGGAGTGGCTGATGGGTTTGAAGGGCCAGCCTTGTGGTTAGTAGCACAATGCTTGGCCCACTGTGCCACCAGAGAAGACGTAACTAGGTACCAGCCATCGATAGGGGTAAACTGTGCATCACTCACAAAGGAGCCACACTGACTACCGAAAGATGTACTGATTTTATTGGGGGAGAGGGAGAAACAAAGAAAAGAAAGCGTGGCAAGTGTCCAGAGTACTCTGTTTCCAGTTCACACCTCATACAAACAAAACGCAAGCACTTCATCACTGAACTGCACTTTTAACCGCTGTGCAATGTCAATGTTCCAGTATTATAATCTTGGAAATCTTGATTTTTCTTAGGAAAAAGTACGAATCTTCAACTGTTTTAATTTTGAAACTGTGAAACTCATCTTCAGAAAGTATGTATTAATTTATACTCCTACCAGCTGAAAATATTAGTGTCACCTCCACAGTCCTGCTGACTGATTTAAAGAAGACAATTTTGCCGGCTTTAGTGCCTCGTGTTTTTACTTGTATTTCTCGGATGGCAAAAGAGATGGAACATTTTTCATGTATTTCTTCATCATTCATCGTTTGTATGAGTGGTCTGTTAATGTCTTTTGCTTAGTTTTCCCCTTTGATAAGTTAATTTTTTTTCATTGCCTATTTATAGAAGCTCTTCATATATTGAGTAATATGAATACATTTGTCACATGTCACAAGTATTCACCCAGCTGCCTGATTTCATATTTATTTCTGGTGATTTTTAACATACAGGTGCTTTGCTTTGCTTTCCTTTTCCATGTAATTAAACCTACACAGTGCTTATTTTATAGTTTCTCTCTTTGGTAACATGTTCCTAGGTTTGAGATTATATCAAAGTTTCCCGTTACCTTTATGTTCCACTTTGTTTAACATCTCAATGCTTAATCCACTTAGAAATTATTCAGATTGGCTTCAAATCAAGTCAAGATTATACTTATCTTTTTCCAAATGGTTAGGCAGATGTCCCAACATCATTTACCGCATTCGTTCGTCTTTTGTCCGATGATCTGAAGGACTGTCTTTATCATATCCTAAATCTCCACCCTATTTTTATCTCACAGGTTTCTCAAACTCAGTATTCCCAGGGAGCTCACACTCAGTATATCCACATCTAGAATTCATGATCTCCCTCTCCCCTCTGATGTTCCCAACCCTATGAATGGCTATGCCATCCACGATGCTTTCCTGGCAAGAACTTAGTTATTTCTGACTCCTGCCCGCTCCGTCAACACACACACACACACGCACGAAATCACTGTTCCATCCAGCATGGCTCACAGTTCCTACAGCACCAGGTGGGTTTCCACGAAACAAATTCCGAATTCGACTTCCGAGAAGCGATCCGACACCCAATGTGCTCCAAAATAGGGTGAGGGCGGTTCTGCAAGGACCTGCCATCCAGCGAGGGTCAGTGAAAACCCACCTTCCCCAGACGACACCGGCCCTGTTGAAGGGCTGGGTCTTATGTCTCCATTTGCTGTCACGTGGAGGACCCTGGCTGTGGGGTGTCCCCCAGAAGAGGCCATCTTTTCATGAGTAGTAGCTTCTAAATTCAAATCCTGTTTTCAAATGATCCAAGTTAAGTGTCACTGTGGCAGCCCAGGCCACGTCCAGCCAACCAGAGCAGCAAGGGCATGTCATGCTTCTCTCAACCATCCCCGCCAGCATGGGATGCTCTCAGAGGGGTGTCCCAAACAAAATTAAACCCAAAGTGCTAAATGTGTGATAAAGCTAGTAGCAGGCGGTGTGATAAGATGCCAGTGAGAAACTGAAGATCACAAATGGAAATGAACGGGGTGAGAAAATGTGTGAGATGCATCTCAGCCCCCAACGCCTCGCTCAAACACAGCTTGATGTGGGCAGGTGCGCAGGTGTGGCCTCCCGACCCTAATCTGTTTCTGAACAGGACAGCTGCCTGGCTCCAACTGGCCCCTTTCTCACCACACGTTCAGCAACGCCAGCGTCCCTTAGAGCTGGCAGTGCTGCGCCCCATGCTCCGCACTCTTCCCCGGGCCTGGCCACACGAGAAACAGTCCCATGCAAGTCATGAAGAAGAGAAACACATGCTCCTGAAAATTAAGAGGGTTTGGTTAAACAGTGGGATTGCGACCCACCAGTGAAAGCAAAGACATCAATCCAAAGAAAACTTCAAGCGGTAAAAACCAGCAGTGCTTCACTGATCATGCAGAAAGAACAGAAGGCGTGGTACATTACCCAAAAGCCCCGCTAACGACCGCATGTCCTTCTCCATCAGCCTGTAAATCTCTTCCTCAGAGAAGCGGCCAATGCCGTGGCCGTGCATCTCGCGCTTCACAATTCCTCTGGTTATGTGGCACACGACCCACTTCAGCAGGTTACTGAAGGGACCACCACCACTAAGAGATAGCATCTTCCGGGTCTCATTGAGATTGTCCACCCACTGGCAATAAGCTAACGTCCTGGAATTGTGCGGAAACAAGTTACGACTGTGTGTCAGGTACATTTCACTTCCAGAGTCACTTTTCAATGAGTCATTCAGATTTTAATGCACCCGACCGGAACTGAGCACTTGCTAGACAAAAAGCAATGTGCTGGGCAGATAGGACAGCAGGCTCGAGACAAAGCCTAGACCCACGTACGAGCCGGTGGGAGACACTGTAAGATATCCAGATAATGGCATTACGTGTTACAAGGCCACCAATCCTCTCCAAATACACTCCCCTCAGACTCCTCCCCATGCGGTGCATCTGCGTTTTCCGACACACCCCACTGAAGACAGGCAGAAACCTGCCTTTGCACGTCTGATGGCTGGGCCATGAGTGCTTCTGGGGGAAGAGGGAAGGAGGAGGCAACAACTGGGGTGCTCGTGTCATTCTCTTTCTGGACCAGGATGGGGTTCGTGCTTGTTAGTGAAGCTGCACGATTTTATGCTGCATATTTTGCATATGATCTTATATTTCATCATCAAAAATATTTCTTAGAAGAAACATTTTGACTTTTTGCCAAGGATTAGGGAATGGATACACGTGTCCATGCCAACTCTCTGCTCCTTCCGTTTATTCTCCAGGACTCCGGGCAGAGGCGGAGGTGGGTGGGGAGGATGGGGGTGGGGTAGCTACCAAAGGAACCTGGTGGAATCATTTCCCATCCCACTGCAAACTCATCCATCCCAGTGGACCATTAAACAGAGTCGTGTCTAAGAGTCGTGTGTTCTGTTGGCCACAATATCCAGGTTTGGGCTGATTTGTTTTTTCAAAGTGCACTATTGCAGGAATGTTCTTAAAGCTAATCATTCTGGTAGATACAGATTAAAAAGGTTCTGAGAAGAGCATCATGGCAGCAGCCCTGACATAAGATAGTTTAGGTTTCCCGTAGAAGGGTCCGCAAAAGGTCTTGGTGGTCACTTCTAGCACCGGTGGTGGCTGACACACTGGCAACAGCCACTCTGGAAAACCAGGTGAAGAGGAAGCAGACACGGGGTAGTGAAAATACAGTGACAAAGACACACTACTCTGTCTCACAAGGACAACCCACACAGGGAAAGAAAGGGGCCTTGGCTGTTTATCTCTTTAGGGTTCTAGTCATTCTTTTGAGGGGTCTCACCTTTGAAAATAGAACCTGAAAAAGAAGCAGAAGATATTTCAAAAGCTTCCAAGCATTTCTGACGTTCCCTGAAAAGCCCTATAATCAATTCCGATACAGCCCTGGGCTGCAACCATGCCTCTTCTTGAAGGACATCTACATGTCACTGGAAAGCTAGAAAAGCGTTCTCCTTTGCCGGCCTCTCGCTGTGCAGTGCCGAGGAGTCAAGAAGGGAGTTTTGCTGAAGAAGCAACGTGCGCCACCATGGGGATTAATAAGTGTGTACAGTCAGCTGTCAGAGTCCCATGGCTCTTTTGACCTAAAATATTGCATGTGAACTTTAATCGTACATTCTATAAAAACAGGCAAACTACAGGTCATACTTGCTCTTCTGCTCGCACCCGCAGTTAGGGCCGATGTTCACATTGCAGCAGAGTAAATGCAGCATGCTCATTCTGATTGGACTAGGTCTGCATGGGCAAGAGGAGAGTGACACCATCCTTGATTACCTGGGAGGTCAATGGCCTCAGGATGAAACTGAATTGCCCAGAGTTGAGAATTGACCCAATAATAATAGCATCCAAGAAGCACCCTAAGAGTAGAGGACTGTGCTGGCTCTAACTGGTTGAGGTGTGGGGGGTGGGGGGTGGGGGGAATTCTTTGTCGACAAATTGCATGGGACTTTAAAATATGAGGCTTTCAACTCTCCTAAACATTCGCAGTCTCAGAAACCCACTGGGGCAGGTCTACTCTGTTCTGTAGTCACTGTGAGTCCAGATGGACTCAGTGGCAGTGAGTTTTCAGTTTTCATAAATATAACGGATCTTGGCGGGTGGGCAGAACTTCAGGGGGTGGCGTAGAGGGAGAAGGCATGTGCATGAAGAGCACCGGCTGGTTGGGGAACTGCAAGAACCTCGGTCAGGCCGAGTCAACTGTGGGACACCCGCGGGGCTCTTTGTGAGAAAGGAGGCTGAGCATGTCAGAGGAGCCTGACCACAGGGTAACGGATTTTCTTCTACAGGCGACGGTGACCCACTGCGAGGAGACAAGCAACATAACCTGCTTTGCAGTGATGTGAATGAAAGACGTGCTGAAAGCTGGAGAAACTGAGGTTAAGAAAGCCAGACGCAAGACCAGGCAAAACATGACGCGATGCATTAAGACAATGGCGAGGGGATGGTGAAGCAAGAGATACACAGAAGGAAGACTGATAGAGGAGAAACAGGCTCTATGACCAAGGTGCATAACGAATTAAATATAAGGAAAAATTGAGTATTTGCTCCTACATTGGTAGATAATGGGTGGATCACCTGCTAGGTTGAAGGAATTATAATACCATTACCCAAAACTAGCAAAACTCCCCTATGGGTAATCAGACATGAGTTCATCCCTTGCATGTGAAGCCTCCATGGAAACACAAGTGTGAATTTGGAATTCATTGAGAATTTAGGAGACAGAATTCAGAAAAAAGAAGTGGCAGGTAGCAGCATGTTGATGATAGTTTTAAACCTATCAGAGGAGAGAAGGCCACCTAAAGAAGTTTCTAGAAACAATAAAACATCATTCTAAGAGCAGCAGCGGTTTCCAGAGTGAGTGGTGTTGAGGATCCTCAAGTGAAGGGCAAGGCAGACGGTGAGGAGGCAAGGCACCAAGGGCCAAGCTGCTGACCGGGAGGGATGCCTCTTTCTCTGAGTGGCACACAGGAGGAGGCTGCAAAGATGCTGAGCTGCTGACTGACTGTGAATTCACTGTCCTCTGAAGGGCAGGGGTGAGGCCAGAAGATGAATGCGTGACAATGGGTCACTAAGGAGTGGTTTCAGGAGAGTAACGTTGGTTGGTTCAGAGTAGAAGGTTAGAATGGGAGAAGCAGTTGGGGGGGGGGCACGAAACAAGACAAGGAGGAGATTCCATCCTCACAACAGGGTTACGTTTCTCTACCTGCATCAACAGGTCAGCCAGAGGCACAAGAGAAGGAGAAGGGTTGATTCAGAATTCCCCGGTTGGGAGAAACTCTCTTCTCTGTTCTCCCTGCTTCTGAGTTCTCTTCCCTGCATTCCTTCCATGTACCCAGTACTATGTGGGCCTGATCCAAGGGAAGCAAGCAAACAAGGCTCCGTGGTTGTCTTCAAGGGTCAAGTTCACGGAAGTGTTGATATGGTCTGTGCTTGGAAATGGAAGCATTATTCTTCATTTCTTCTGCTCTAAACTTTAATACCAGAAGGAATGGGAGTTTCATGAATTCCTAAACCAACTGTGACAAAGGCATCAAAGCACATTCCACATCGTTACAACCAAGTATCCACCTCCTGTCACAACCAAGCTTTCCAAAACGTGGTCTCCCCAGTGGGATGCTCTCAGCCCCACTACTTCACCTACACCACTCTTGCCCAAGTCAACAATGACTCCCTTGTGGCAAAATCCAAAGAAACCTTTTTCTGTTTGTGGCTTTCCTGACTTCTCGGTAGCACCGGACTGGCGCCACTAACTTCTTTATTGCATCTCTTCCTTACCATTTATCCTACTAGGATTCCCGCCACCTCTCAGGACTCCCCAGCCTATCTCCTTTTCTCCTCACCTCTCACATGTTCTCCGGACCGCTATCTCCATTCCTCCTTTCTCCAAACTCCACACTCAATGGTCTTCAAGAGGGTGACCTCCAAATCTATATCCAGCCCAGACTTCTGTCCTGAAAGCTATGGATCCCATGGGCCCGGTCCTCAGAAACTGCCAACCAACATTTCCGAAACGGTGCTCAGCACGTTCATGCCCTTCAGCCCTGCTTCTCCTCGTCTCTGCCAGAATGCTGGCCTTTAGACTTCCCGGCCCCATCTCCATGGGCCTGTTCTCTGACTTGACCAACACTGAAGTTCCGCTCTGATCACTCCTCACCTACGATGAAAGTAGCCTCCGAAAATTCCTTCTAGCCCCTTCAGAAACTTATTTGTCTGAGGACAACCGATAAGGGCTTCCTAAAACACAAATGCAACCGGTATCGCACTGCGAGCTATTAACTACCCCCAGCTCCTCCGCATGGCACACCACCCATGCACAGCTCCTGGTCGGACCCCTCGATGGCCGGGCCCTTCTCCAATCCCATACACCAGCAGATGGAACTGTATATATTTGTCAGGCTTCTTTTTAGCCTCTCAACTTTGATTTGCTCTTCTGTCAGCCCGGATATCCTACACTTTCCTCCTGCCAGGACCTTCACTCACTACTCTGACTCCCCCTAGATGCCCCTCTCCAGCGGGTGCTGGCTGCCTCTCCCCCAGCCCTGACCAGCATCAGGGCTCCGTGTCTCCTCTCCAGCCTGGGAGGACAGGGACACTCTTTTTGCCTTGCTTCCCCCAAATCCAGGACACTCCCTGGCCACTAATAGCTATTCAATATGTTCTCTGAAAAAATGAATTATTGATTGAAAGAAAAAAGGCTTTGCTTTGGAGCCAACTACTGCTAAGTAGTGTTTCTAAGAGATGGCACGTTTAAACAGGATAATGGAAAGCCAAGCATCTGCGGAGACCAGCGCAGAGCTGCACTGGTCTCTGCTGGCTCCGCAGCTCCTCACGCCCTTCTGGGGAAAGGCCTGCGCACAGACTCATGAATTATTCACCGGAGAGGGCGGGAGAGCCAACTCAGAAACTGGCCTGGGCTACACAATTAAAATAATCTATGAGTCCAAGGGAAGGAGGGGTGCAGTGGTTAAGCATTCAGCTACTAACCAAAAGATTGGCGGTTCAAAATCATCAGCTATCTCGTGGGAGAAAGGCGTTGGCCTGAAAACATACAGCTTGGAAGCCCGCAGGGGCAGTCTGCTCTGTCATGGAGGAGCGCTGAGTCAGTCAGGAGCGCTGATGGCCCTGAGTTCGGTTTCGGGCTA